TGGAGCTGCAGGATGAGCATCACCCTGCTTGTTTCTCTGTCCCCTTTAATAGGGATGGTGAGGGGGTTTCTTCTTTCCCCCTTGTGCCCTGGGGACGAGCAGGAACAAATGCCCTTTGTGCAGTTTCTAGGTGACTCAAAGCCCTGTGGGATAAATATTGTTGGGCTGGGAGGGAGAAGAGCTCGAAGTGAGAATGAAGAAGAAAATATCTTCTCCCTGCATCTGTTAGGACCTTGATTTATGGAGCTGGGGCTGGAATAAGATGAGAGGGTTGGAACTGGGGTGATGCTTTGCATCCTGCCGGTGACATCAGTGTTACTGGAGCAAGAACTTCCCCAAATCCTGCTAAAAGTGAAGTGACTGTGAGATTTAAGATGAGCTTTAGGAGTCAGTTTCTGGTTGATTTTCATCTCCCTGCTGGCCCCTGTGTCACTGCAGATGCATTTTTCTAGCCTGTATTCATAGGCACAAAAAAGTGGAAGGTAATTGGGTGCAATAAGCCCTTATTCTCCTACCTATCTGCTCTCATTTGCAATCATCTCCACTTCCCTATTTTTCCCTGTTTGCTCCAGGCCCGTGAGCCACCAAAGCAGCCAGATGAGATGGAGAGTGTCTCATTGGCTTTACTTTCTGCCAGTTTTTACCCAGTGAATACTAAGTCTGTGGTGCCCAGCTAGCTCTGCTGCACTGTGGCTCGCGTGCCACCCTTCACCCTTCCCAGCCGAAATGCATTTTGCAATAAATCAGTAAATTTTTAGTATTGCAATGGTATTTTTTTGCCTGTGCAACCCAAGCAATAGCCCATCACTGGTGCAAGCGGTTGCAGCCTTGGCCGGGTGTTGGCAGAGCAAGGACAACCCCATCCCTTCTCCCGCCGGGCGCGCGTGTTGAGACAGCTCTCGGCGAGAAGCCGCTTAAATCGCAATTACCTTCCTTCCCGTCCGCTTGCGCGGGATCCTTATCTGCCTCCGTGTAGCTCCGAGGGCTTAATTACCCGCGGCGATAATCCTCTGCGCGCCGTTAAGCAATCCCGGAGATAAGGAGTTTTCTGGCTCTCTAGATATGAGAAGGTATTGGCAATGGAGCTCTCCTCCGTGCTCCTTTTTTTGGGTGATTGTGCCAAAAAATGGGCTTTCTGGGATAGGGGAGACATGAAAGGGGTGTGGGAAGCTGCTGCTGTTGGAGGAAGGGAGGTTTTGTGGGTGGAAGATGGATGTGGCCCTTTGATCTTGGTGAATTTGGGCCCGATGTAGATCTGGAAGATCACTGGATGGTCCCGGTGGATAGGAGGTGGGATGCTGCAGGTCTTCATATTTGTCTTTCCCAAATATGTGCCAATTACACTACCCTATTGCTAAGAGCATCTTGGGTTTTGGTACCCAGCCCTGCCCCATTGCACCAAGGGGATGGGATGCAGCATAGCAGAATGTTGAGGATTAGGGGGATCCTTCCTAATTCTGCCCAGGGAAATACTTTTTGTGAGTGTAATTGAGAGGGCAGCTCTGGCGTCGCGGAGCGTGAGCTCGTGTTGCGCATGGATCGCGTTTCACCCCTTTCAAAGCATTTAAGGGCTTACCAGAAACACAAATACTGTTGCTCAACCCAACGAATGTCTCTGTGCAACTTGTAGTCTTGGCTCTTTCCTCCCCGAGATCAAGTGGGGAGTGGATTTATGTCACTTCTCATGCTCATGAAGGTTGTAGTGACCCCGGCCTGGGTGTTGATGTACGTGTGTAAAACCATAACCTCTCCCTCGGCCCTGTAATTGCAGGGGCTCCTTGCAGCCCCCGTCCAAGTTCTCCTGGTGAAAGAACTACTTAGTCATAGCTTTTCATGGGAAGTCTTTAATTTTAGCTTTCTAATATATATGCAAGTATTAATTGTGTGGGGATGGATGCTCTGGCAGCTTGAACCTGGTGGGACTAGACTTATTTGCTCTGATGATCCACCAGGAGAACATTATTTTTCCAAAGGTAGACATTCGGCGAGTGCTCCTGCACCACCAGAACCCTCCCCACTCTGTACTTTCTCATTGCTCCATCGTTACCTCCCTTAATGAGAGAGCTGTGAGCTGCAGGAACACTTCCTGGCATGCAAATCATCCGGTTCAGCACCCTGCTTCCCTCTGGGAGGGAGAACAGTTGGGAAAGAGCTCGCTGGGTAAGCAGATAGCAAGCGAAGAGCTTCGCTACCGTTCCCCGGCGTGCCAAAAATAATAGGTTTTCTTTAGTAATACCTTGCGTTTTGCTAGCATGTCTCACTGCCTCTCACGGTGTACTGCAAACAGCAATTAATTGCAGCCTCGTTATGTTGTAGTTAGATCCATTTATTTACTTAAGGAGAACTTTCCATCCCAAAGTGCGCTGGAATCTGTTAGTGGCCCCGAGGTGAACGGTGATGCAGGAGAGATGCTCGAAGTGGAGCCACTCCAGGGCGGGAGCTAAACACAGAGAGGGTCTTGTGGGTGCATTTTGGGATTGGGATGTGTTCCTGATGTGATTCCTGCCTCGATGGCTCATTTCTGGAGACCAGGTTGCTTTGCTTTTGCTTCAGCATGAGCAGAAGTGTGGAGCTAAGTGAGGAGGATGAGGATGCTCTGCCCCATCTGCTTTATCCCTACAAACTGAGACACTGTGACCTGTCTTGTGGTTGCTCCTTGCCTAATTTGGTGCAAATTAAAACAAGTGAGTTTAAAACTCTGGTTGGCAGAGACAGTGGGAGCAGTAGCTGCCTGAGTAGCTTCTGGTGGTCCTGCAGCACCTCATCTGCTGAGATGTGGTTTCTTGGTTATCAGATTATGGGAAACCCTCTCTTCTCCCACCATCTCTAGCTTGATTCTTTGGACTGTAAGGTCTTGGGAAGGGGTCATTTCTCAGTCCATCTTCTTGCTGTGAGACTTTTAATAACACTGAAGCTCTGGAGCAGAGTTTGACTGTGACCTGCGTGGTTGGTGGTATCTCCAGCTGCGAAATGACTGTCCTTGCGGAAGAAGATATCACATATCTACTATCCACCCACAGCACCTTGGTTAGCCTGGGAGGTATCTGTCCTTCCCTGGCTTTGCTGTTAAGCCTTTGCTGTCTGATTGGAGAGTAAGCTTGGACACGGTGTGTTGAGCTTCTAGCTGGACAGATTGAGTCTAGATGAGATAAAATCAGTCGCATGCTGAGAAATGAGGCAACATTTCTAGCCTGGGCTGGGTGGTCTTGAGGGCTGCACAGAGGAATCTGCAGTGCAGAGGGTTTGTGACCAAGACCAAGCTGGGGACAGAGGTGCCAAGCACCCACTCATGTATCTTGAGGTTCTACTTCTCCAGCTGTAGCTGATCCTCATCCCTCCAGATAGAAACACATTGGAAGCAACTGCACGGAAGCAATTAGCTCCTGTGAAGTTTTCCAGCACTTGGAACAATGGCTGGCTCCGTCCTCATCTGATCGAATTAATGATATTCTAACAAGTGACGGGTTTTTCCTTTTGAATTCTCTCATTTGGAAAGAATTGCTCGTCGTAAATTACACGTATAAAAATTAGGCCGCTGTTTCGTATTGTTTACAACAAGCACTTCAGGGTTATGGATGTTCCTCCCTGATTTATAACGTTTAATTCTTTCCCCCTTCTGCGAGCTCTCCATAAATCAAGGCGAGACGTCAACCCCGTGTCAACATTGCGCTCAGCCCGCGAGCTGCGGACAAGTCGGGACAGCGGATCCCGCGGCGAAGGTTGACTCTTCTCCCGCGCTGTCTCTCCCGTTTTTGATGAAACAATGAGAAGGTGAGGCTGGTGCTTGTCAGCTCTTTCTCTGAGTCACTTTTCACGAGGCCCTTTTCCAAGCACTCGGGAGAACAATGTTGGAGGCGAGCGATCCAAGCGGCTCATGTTGCCGCTTGCGCGCGGCTGGGGCTTGGGCAGCAGCTGCCGTGGAGCTGCCCCGCGAGGCTGAGCAGGTGTCTGAGGCTCCTGGAGCGGAGCCAGTTGACGTCAGGCAGCCCGTCCCGCCGGCGTGTTCCTCTCGCCTGACCCTCGGCTAGCTCCTCGGGATGTCCCGAGAGGCTTGGATCTTCCCAACCCTTGGAAGAGAGGAAGAGGTAGGTGATGGGCTCATTTGTGAGCAGCCAGAGCCAGTTGGGGCTGTGGTTGCTGAGTATCACCTCATGCGATGGTGAGAGTTGTTTATCATGAAGATTATGGTGAGAGTTTTGGTCATGTTCTACATAAGGTTGCACATGTGGAGTGATTTGCAGGCCCTCCAGTAAGGAAACATTGGTGGGATGAAGGAGCCTGAGGATCTCTGGAAAGCTCCGGCAGCAGCTTCTCATCATAGAGCAAGTCCCTCTGGAAAACTAGGAAGAAAACTTCCTCTTCACCCTGCAATCATCCTCATTTGTTGCCCTAGAAGAGAATATGGAAAGATATGGAGGTCTTGTAGACTTTTCCACCATAGGCCAAAACCCTGCACCTCGAGCCAACTTTTCCAGGGATTCAGGAGCCCTCTGCCTTGTCCCACACTCGCGCTGGCTTGTACCAGAAGGGCACTAAAAAGCTCCACGCTGAGACCAGGAGGCTTCGTGCTAGAATGGAGGTGCCTGCTAAGGCAGGTATGTGTGTGGGGCCGTCGTGCGTCGTTGCGGCCCACGCCGGGCCCACGCGAGGCCGCCTTATCAGCCCGCCGCTTTCCTAAGCGCTGGGGCTCGCCCCGTCGTAATCAAAGGTAAATAAATACACTTTGGCGATCAGATGCTGGTAATTAACGATGCTGAAAAACAGATGTCTCCCTTAAGAGCTCGGGAGGCAGCCGCTTGCCTCACCCTGCCCATTACGGGGCGATGCGTTGATTATTAAAAGAAAACATTTAGCAAATGCAGAATGGGATATTCATCTGCTCTTACATAATGGTAATAAGCAATTGTCAGTCAGGCAGCGCGGGAGCCTTCCAGCCCCTGCTGAACGCAGGGTGAAGTGGATTTACGGCCTCCAATGGGAAATAGTCCTCCTTGTTTTTCCAAGAGGAGAGGAGATCTTTCACGAGATAATAAATAAAAGAGGCTCTGGTTGCTTTAGTATGAAGCAAGACGAGTCCTCCGGATTAGTTTGGATTAGTCTGTTGCTAGTGGCACGGAGGTTTGGCGCGCGGCCATTTATTCACCTAGAAGACGTCGAGCTAATTGGAAAAGCACCTGCGATGAGATGTAGCTCACCACCTGCACTTTGCTGAAATAAAATAAGCCTACATAATTGACTACATTACCTATTAATGTTATGAAATCACCCCCAAGCATTTTTATTATCATCCCTTCCCACCCCACTGATGCTTTTATGAATTAAACTTTTGTCTCTAACTTTTTTCCTTTCCTTGGAAGCCCCGAGCCTGGGCCAACGCGTTAGGACCGGGACTGCTGTGACGGGCTCAGACCTTCATGCAGAAACAACCTGGGAAATGGGCTCCTTCCTGGTAGATAAAGGAAATGGTTGGATGTTGATCTGCTTGTTCTTGTGGGATGGGGTCCTTCTGATTTCTAGCCTTCCTTCTTTCATCCAAGGTCAGTGGGAGTCTTGACTGCCCTACGTGGCCTTTGGGGTAATCCAACTGCATGGCGGGGCTCTGGCCAGCTTACCTCTAAGCAGGAGCTCCGTACTAGAAGATGTGGCTCAGTTTGGAGCTATGGGGAGCTCCTTGCCTCTTGGTGACCACGTATGGAGAAGCCAGGGTCATGTCAACCCTTGCCTGAAGACTTGATCCGATGGGATGCAACAGAGGTGGGACGGTGGGTGCTGCGAAGGCGAGGTGAGTCAATCACGTGCGTGTGGGCGAGTGGCCGGGACCTGCAGGGATTAAAAACCTCAGATGAAAACCCCTGTTGCTGTGCAATTGCTAGAGAGATAGGGAAGCATGTGGAGAGGAGCCATAGGATCTTCCTTCTGTTTTATCTTTCACTCTCCCTTCCGTCCCTCCTGGCAGCTTTGCCACAGACTTGAACCGAGCTCAAATCAGAGCATCTTTCCAGCACTCCGAGGAAGCAGCTTATTTGTTTCAGGTTATTTCCCTGGCTCTTGCATGTGCCAGGAAACAGCCTCCAAAGTCTCTCTGACCAGAGACACCATGCTGAAATATGGGCCTGCTCTCCAGCTCAACGAGCAGAATCAGGAATAAAATCTGCTCCTGGGTTTTCCTGACTGTTTAGTTTTGCTCAGATTGCCAAAGTTTCCTGCACATCAACAGCTGGAAGTGGTTGGTGCTTCAGCTCTACAAAGCCAAGCTGCTCGTGCTTTGTCACTGCAAATCACAAGGGGAAAGTGCGCAATGGTTCTGCCGAGATTATAATTATTATAGCTCTGTATTGGTAACTGCCATGGTGACTGTGTGAGAAGTTGCCTTCTGTATTCAACAAGCTGGAACCCCTGGGAGGCCAGAAATAGGTTCAAGGGGGAGGGTGGGTTAAAGCTCTTTTGGGTAATAAAACAGCAGCAGATAGAGAAGGTTCCTGCCCATGGCACTAGCTGTATGATCAAGCTGGAGAGAGTGAGCTTGAGAAGCAAGGATGGATGTAGAAGACCTTGGCCCTTTCGGGAATGGGGCTTGCTGAAGTTGTTTCCAGATGAGGGAAACTCCTCCTGAAGTTCTTCCTTCCTTGAATTACCTAAACCAAGTGTAATTTTTTGTTTTGTTTTGTGACTGTGTATTTACAGGCCTGCCATGAATGCTGAACCCAGGTCAGAAGATCATCTCGTGTGAGATGCCATCGTGCTGATTTGCTTTTTGGGCCAAAGAGGAATCATGAGTGTGGCTCTTGGAGACTGTCTATGCCAGGCACTAGAGCTCAGCAAACATTTGAGATCAGGCTGTGATCCAAAGAGCTCCTAATCCAAGGAGGAACTTGCAGCAAGAAATAATGAACTCTTGCCTCAGGGCTGGGGGGTAAAAGCCAGAGCTGTAAGGGAGAAGATGAAGGGTGTTGGGACTTAGGAATCCTGTTGAGCTGAGGATGGAGCCAGCTGCAAAATTCCATTGCCAATCAATCTGCCTGGCTGCAAGTGTTGCAAGACATCCCCTCTTGCTTCCCAGAAGTTGGGTTGCGGCTTAAATCCAAGGGTTACCTTTGGGCTCAGCTCTAAGGGCTGGAGCTGGTTCTCACCAAGGCAGAACTTCCTCTCCTTTCCTCCTTGTCAGCACTTTGGGAAAGCCTCCAGTGGCCAAAAGCCTCTGAATTTAGCGAGTCACATGGAAAAAGGAGCTCTTGCCACATATGTGGAGAGGCTGCAGTGGGTGAGGGCCCCTCTGCAGTTGAAACCAGGTTTGGATGAGCTCGTGGAAGGCCTGTATGGACATGTTCTTCACATCTATCTTCTTCCCAATCACTGTCATTAAAGCCATCACCTGGCTGTGCCAGCTGGTCCCTTGGTGCTCTCCATAGGGCATGGTGGGTGGTGGGTGATGCTGCATGAAGCATCGAGCAGAAGAGCAGGATGTCCTCTTCCTCTGGGAGCAAGAGCCTCGGTGTCCTCCATGAGTACAGAGAGAAGGTGGCACTGCAGTCCTGGCCTGCAACTATCAACCCACGCTGTCTCTAAGGGCTTTGCAGAGTCCTCATAAATCACTTGATCCCTTGTATGAGGTCTCAACCAGACACCAGAGTTCCTCCTGACTTGAGGAGAGCCTGAGTTCCAGAGATCAATGAGGAAGCAAAAGCACCATCTCCAGATCAATGTGCGAAGCTGCTCACGAGGAGGAGGAAGACGCCTCTGGCCATTGGCAACCCCAGGAGCTGTGCCCTATCAGCGCTTGCTCAAGGCTGGCAAGTCCAGTTCTTCCTTCACACTTTTTGGAAGTGTTGATTGCAATGACCATCCTTAAGCTGCATGAGCTGAAGCTCCCCAAGAGGACTAGGGCATCCATGTATCCAAAAACACTGGATCCACTGGATCAGTGTTACAAAAGATGGCAAGAAGTCCACATCCCAAACCAAGGGTAGCTGGTCCTGCTTTCTCAAGAGTCATCGGTTTGACAGGAGAGCTGAGCAGGTGATTCCTAGTAATATCCCCTCTCCTAGTTGGGTTTCCAACGTGAATCTGGACCCTCAAATCACAGCCAAAGACCCATTCAGTCAAAGCATGCTTTCCCTGGCCTCTCAAGTTGTTCTAAATGGTTTATTTGTTCTGATTTCCAGGCGAAACAAGAAGCGGTGCCTTGGGCTGGGTCTTCTCTGAGTACCTAGGTGTGAATGCTGGACCTGACCGTGGAACATATATGTAAGCACATTGAAATCTTGCACTGAATCACTTCACTTGATCCTCTTGGATGCAGAGGAGCACAGGAGTTTATACCAGGGGAAAACAGAACCAGGCACCATGTGCTGAACATCCAATAACCAACAACCCTGAAGCTATGGTGGTGGATTTGCTCTTCCTGAGGCTCCTAAGCATTTTTGTCCTGTTCTCTGATTACTTTAATTCCCTCCTCAGAAAGGAGCAGTATCAAAACAGGAGCTCAGGTTACCAAAGCTCTTATGCCATTGTGTACAGTGAGTGATTATTTTATACATCTGTGTGTAAACTCTTTTTGCAGCGGCAGCAGTTCAATAAATAATTAATGTTTCTTAATCCTGTAGCTATTTCTCCTGTTGTAAAAAATTAATTGGTTTTCCATCATCTGCTTCGCTCTGACCTGGAGGTATTTGGCGCAGCGCTCTTGCCCCTGCTTAAACATGCTCCTCGTCACCCTCGTCATGCCCATGGTGCTGAATCTGGGGGAATAAACAAACTAATCGGAGATATTAGAGGCACCTCCAGGAAGATTTAGTCATCATAAGACTTTGCACTTCGGCAGCATCCATCCGTCTGGGAGTAATTAAGCCTGTTGGCTGGTGATGAGGTGAAGGTTGCGCTCCTTCATGTGCAGCACCGGGGCAGAGAGTTGCACAGAGTTTGTGGTTGTCCTGGACCACATAGTGAGATGGTGATACTGCTGCAAAGGGATGGTCGCTGGTCACTTGTGGCAGGACTGGTGGAGGATGAACTGCTGGAGCAGGGAGCTACTGCCCCCAGTGCCTGGGGAAAGAGGTGGAACTGCAGAGCAAAGTTGTAACTGCCTCGGAGCTAAAAATATGCAGTTTTGGGACTTCACTGGTTGGCATTCTGGCCAGTTTCTGTGCACAGCAATGGTTTATGGTTTTTGGCTCTGGTGTCTCTTACACCTCAGCATCATCTCCAATGGCCATAGCCGTTGTTGCTTCCCTGGAGTCACTGAGCTTAAAGACTACAGAGCTGAGCCCGGGAACCAAGATTTCAGGGTGCCCCAAAGAGTTAATTGATGGGGAAGCAAGAGCCAGTTCAGCCTAGGGGAGCTAGCAAGTACAAGCATTTTCCTAATATGAAACTTTCTTTAATTACATCTGACAAAGGCTTCGGTGGGAGCCACTGTGTTTTTCTGGAGCGAATTCCTTGCCTTTGCTTTGCAATCTGCTAGCATCCCTACCAGCCCATCCTGTACAAACAGCCCTACGGACTCTAAAAGCGAGTGGAAAATATGGGCTCACAGGGCAAAGCTCGAGTCCGAGCTGCAGGAGTGTGACGGGGCGGCCGTGAGGTTAGAAGGTAAAGATTCACGCTCCGAATTCACCCTGCACGTGACTTGGAGGTGTCTATGAGAAGGAGCTCAGGTCTCCCCCAGCCCAACACACCTCGATTAGTTCCAATTTTCTTAATTGGTACCTCTGCCTTTCTTGACACTTGCACTTTTGCTGCTAATTCTGCTTCTTTTTGTGTCCCCGGGAGATTGAGGTCACAATCCTGTGTTCCTTAATGCACAGATGTGACAGTGTTTCCCACCAGGAGTTGAGAACTCACCGCATCATTCCCCCTGGGACAACAGGTCGGGGAAATTTCACTGCGATGCAGGCTGGAGGAGCTGTCACACGTATATTTATATAGGAAGGTGCAGCAGCAGTGGCATATGCCAGTAGGAATAACTGCATTTATTCATTACTCACGCTTTGCTTTTGGAGATTTCTCCTCTCATGCCTGTTTTACAACAGCAGCAACGGTAGGAGTAACGCTCGAGCAGCCGTCTAATTACATTGCGATTTAATTATCGCCGTTCTCCCCGGCTCCATCCTAATGAGGTCTTCAGGTTGTCACGGTGGATGATGAATTGGCTTTAGGGGTGTTATCTCCTTTTCGCCTGAATAAGAGGCATTGAAGGAGACCAGAGAGAGCCCTCGAGAGGGAGGTTCGCAGCCTCGCTCTTTCTGCCTCACACCCTAAACAATCCAGATTGTGAAACGCCTTTTGGAAAGGCAGATAAAAAAATTAAACAGCCACGGGGCACCCAGGTTCGTGGCTAGGCTCCAGAAGCATTAGGTCATAGATTCACTTCTTATTTTTCCTCTCTCCCAAAATATACTTTGGATCTTTTCCAGCGATTATCAAAAGTCACTTTTTATAGAGAGGGTGTCTTCTGCAGCACGGTTCTCTGGATTCTCTGCTCTTGGCTTGCTTCCCCTCTCATTTCAAAGCTTTTCTTTCTCTGTTTATTTTGCGTTAAGGTGGAACTGTTCTAGAGGTAGGAACTAAGATTTGCCTCTAGCTCACTCCAGGGCAAACTCTTCTAAAAATCAGTAGTTTCTACCAAAACAAGCTGTTGTCCTGCAAGCAGGTCCTGTATGTATTTGCTTGGCCTGTAACGTGGCCTTGGCCGCTTGTGACTTGTTTTCTGTTGACGTCCTGCAGACTAAAGAGCGGGTGGGGAGGCATCTCCTCCTTCTCATTTAAATAGTTGTTCCCTGGGAAAAGCAAGGGCCTGGATAACAGTCGTTGCATCCACCCGTCGGAGCGTAAGGCGCACGGTTGTGGGATTCATGGTGTGTTCCCAACCCGAGCAAAAAGGTGTTTCACATCTATAGACTACAGCCCATATCCCAGGCCCTTGGGTTCACCTTGGGGTGGCATCACTGAAGCTACGATCTTGCCTTGCTGCATGGGAGCAATTTTGAGCAGCACTCTCAGCTTCTTGCTGAATAAAGCAGTCACCCTGGACCGGGTGCTATGAAGATGTCAGGACAACCTCGTTCAGCTCTAACGAGGGACTCAGCTCACAGGCAGAACATCGTGTTCTCTGTTGATTCTTTAGGCCATTTACTTGCTTGTAAAGTCAAGTAATAATTCAGGAGCAGAGGCAAGGTCAGCAGACCCAGGATTGCTTAGTTCTCAGGCCTGGCTTTCACTCCTACTGAGTTATTCTGCTTTAGAGACTAAATGGAAGAACGTAGCATCCGCCCTTGTTTTTAGTGGTAAGAGATCTTCAGACAGGTTTCGAGCATGTCTAACCTTAAATATGGTCTCAATACTCACTGCACTTTCTCTACTTTCTTAAGCCATCTTTTGTATTTTTCTGTCACCTTGACATCTCTTAAAGGCCAGCCTGGACCTCCTTGCTCCACTTCCAAGTTGTTCATTATTCACCTAAAAATTAGGGGAAGAGGCTGTTTCATTGATTCTCTCTCATGTCTTGCATGGCTGCGATCACGTCTCCCTCTCCAACTCCCCTTTCCTCCACTGAGCAATCCTGTCTGATTCAGTCCCTGCTCACATGTCATGGTCTCTTGATAGTCGATCAATTCTGCTGCATATTGTGTTGCATAAAACAGAGAGATGATTGTCCTCAATCCGCAGGCTGGAATTCTTTTAAATCTAAGTAGATAATTAAAACTTGTTGGATCAATATCTGGCGATGATCTAATGCATTGGCTATAGATAGTTATCTGACTAGTGGTGGGTTAGTCATCGATACGTGCATAAATATCAAGGTAATCACTTGTGGCCAGATTCAGCCTGGGCTTACAACATTCACATCCAGGTCAACTACACATGTAATTTGGGCTCATTATCAGCCTGCAAGCAGCACCTTGCCCAGCCATGGGGGCTGAAACAAAACCAAATGAATTCTCCTGACTCTGCAGCTGGAGCAGAGCCAATGGTGTGCTCATGTTGTCTGCTGTTGGAGACCTTCGCAGCCCCCTGCAGAAACCCAAGATCTTCTCAAGTCCCAGACTGTGAAGGTACCTCCAGCAAGTGCAACCCCTTTGCTAAGAGCTCCAGTTCCCTCAATGATCCCTCAAGAGAGGTGGCTCTTCCCAAAGGTGACTGGGATAGCTGGTGGTTACCTGAGGTGGGATGAGTCTGGATGCCAATGATTTCAGTGGGATCTGTGCGTGATTTGGCCACAAGTCACTTCCCCTGTCCCTTCCATGACCCCTGTCACATCCATCCTGTACTAAGTCCATTAAGTGCCTCTCCGTAAGAACAATGGTGCATGCTTAAAACATCAAATCCAGGAGCTCGCAAGCCACAGGGCATCTTCCACCACCTTAAGTAGGCGGCAAGACATGGGAATCTGAACACAACCCAAATAGCCTGAGATATACAGTGACGTGGATGTAAAAAGAGAAGGGGGGGAGATATTAGCACACAAAATATTAAGTCATTCATATTTTCTGCAATTAATTTATCTGTCATCGATAGACTCATAAACTATTTGAGTCTGTGACAGCTTGGAAAGAGAAGATGCCAACTTCTCCTGCAGGTGTGCATCTGGTTGGGAAGACATCAGCGATTGTACGTGCAGGGAGGGAGGATGATAGGAGGGAGGCAGCGGGGTTGTGAAATAAGATGGGAGTGAAAGGGTTGGCAAAAATGCTGGCTAGCTGCATTCATGCTCCTTCAAGGTTGGGAAGAAATGTCTCAAAAGCCATGGGCGTGCATCAAGGAGCCTTCCTGCAGGAGATGGGAGCCCCTTGACTGCACGGACTTAGTGGTCTCCAGCACCAACAGGATGGTGTCCACTTTGGGACGCCAGGATTGCCCTCCAAAGCTTGTTTGCCTCCAGGACAGGAAAAACAGGACAAATTACATAACTGTGGCCACTGAGTTTCGGCGATTTCAAGTGTTTCAAGGTGAATCCCATCTGGGAGAGCAGCTAATAAAGTGTGAGCCAGCCTGGGCCCCTATTTCTTCCCGATGGGGTTGGCTTTGGTGCTAATCCAAGCTGAATCTTGGAGCTCGGTGACCATTCATTCGAAGGACGTGGTGCCGGGCGTGGGTCTGGATGGGATTCCCATTCCATCACCTCCTGGATGTCCCTCACCTCATGGTGGTTGTCCATGGCTTGGTGGGCCAAGTCCAGGAGGGAGGAGTGAAGCTTTCCCATCGACTCTGGAAAACTCCAGTTTCCCATTGAATACATCGACTGCGGAAATCAGCAGTCGATCCCCGTGC